TCTTGAATAATTTGACAGTGGACTCAAGGGTGGTTAAGTCATCGTACTCAAAGGATAAAGTTACAATCCTGAAAGATTTTGACTCAAGGCTCAATAATTAGCTTTAATTTTTCATTTATCTTTCTTCCTCTTCCTCCCACCCCTGAAGCCCTAACCTAACTTAGCCATGAAAACCCGTATATGAGGGATCACTAATTACTTAATAATATATTCTCGGTTGGTCTCCACGTACACACGGTCTCCCCGGGACGCGAACCTCTGCCGCTGCCAACTTTCCTTCACACATTTTAACTCCGTACATAATTCAGAGGGAAAGTCACCGCAACATTTAGGAGCCAGATAAAATTCTCTTCATAACCAAGATATGCTTGAAGCAAATTATACATTCTTGTTTATATAGCTTTACTCTCTCTCTCTCTCTCTCTCTCTCTCTCTCTCTCTCTCTCACTCGTATTTCTTGCTCTATTTTCCTTGTTAGTGTCCTGACCAGCTGCCACCATCTCCCCGTGTACGTCCTCCAGCCTTCAGACTCAACAGGTGGTGACAAGGTGGGTGAGCACCGCCTGTCGACCAGCAGTTTATCCAAGTTAGAATCCACGAAATAACAACACGTGTACAGTACGTCTCCGACCTCCCAAGAGTTTCCGACCATAACCCTCATTCAGCTAGATCCTGACCTCGATTTTGTGGGGTGCCAAAGGGAGTCTCTTCTGAATGACTGACTATATGTCGTAGAAACAACGGTGACTCCACAGCTCTATTAGTTTGTAAGTTGTACAATACCGTCATTGTTAAATTAGGCCCTGAATCTTTTCGTGTTAAATAAGATAAATGATTAATTTGACCTTAACTTGCATGTGTATAATATAGGTAGTGGATCTCCTGACATCAAGAGGACTTGTTTATATACCTCAGCTCGTGTGTTGTGCACTCACAGTGTTGTTATGTGTGTGTGTTGGCGGTACACGAGGCGGTAAATACTCGTGTGAGAACGGTGGTGAGTGGCTGAGTGTTGAGGCTGGTGTCACGTATCATATGGCTGCACTATGCATACATGTGATGTTTACATTAATCTTAATGAAATATGTTTATTGGAAACTGTCAGTTGGATGGTAATTTACCTTCTAACATATTCAGGGATTGTGAGGCGCCTCTCTGAAGACGTTGGCACCACACTGAGCTTAAAGTTCCTTCACTGACTTATTGAAAATATCATTACGCGAGTTTCGGTTATTTATATATAACAAGAGTAGAGACATAACATCCTCCTCTGTTCATATAACAACGGTGTACATAATTATAGGCGTCATATAGCAGGTGAACACAACATGGGCTGAGCTGAATGATGGCCGCACCTACTGGCTCTTGAGTCTAACAAAGGACTAGAGTATAAACAAACACGTCACCCTCTTTTTAGCTTTATAACTCCACTGTCATAAAACGAGTCTATAATGATAAGTCTAGAGACACATATTTTGAAGATTGTGAAAGTCTTAAACATGCGTAAACAATGTAGTGTAGCATTTAATGAGGGACCCCAAGTATAAATTTTGTTTTATTATCATCACAGGTTCATATTATAGAGACATTTCCTGAGCATTGATACATTATAAAGAGACGAAAATGATATACAAAAAATCAGTCGAACAGTTTTACGTAGATCGAGTCAGAAACCCACATGTTTTTCCTACTCGCGGTTTACTTATTCTAACACTTAACACACGCTCCCTGTCTGTTATTGTCCAGTTTACTTCCTCTCTAAACTAGCTTTACATTTTCACTCTTTTATTCAGTTTTTCAGGATGTTGGTCCTTATGGTTGTGGGCTTCCTGGTTGTGGGCTTCCTGGTTGTGGGCTTCCTGGTTGTGGGCTTCCTGGGACACATTTATGGTAGGTGCATGACTGTCACGTCACAATGAACCAAACATAAACACGTTCCTCTGAGTGACATCACGCGTCATATGGAAGGCTCACACCGCGGTAGTGACTGTCGAGAGAACTGTCGCACCTGAGTCTGTTGCCTAATATAACACCCGAACACCTCCTGTATGGATGCTATACAGTATATAAGTTTATGCGTTCGTGGTCTGTAATTTAGGTAGACCAAGAGGAATGTGTGGAGACTGTACTGTATATTAATAAGAGTGTAGGTACAATAACAACAATGAAAAGGTTATTTATTGTTCTTATAATGTATGGAAAACAATATTCTAATAATTCATGTATTTATTTAAGGATATGAAGACAGACTGTAGCATGTTTAGTGACACACACACACACACACACACACACACACACACACACACACACACACACACACACACACACACACACACACACACACACACACACACACACACACACACACATAGACGGGAGGGG